AAATATAAGGCAAGGATAGGATTTATTATTATTAATATTGTAAAAAGGAGGATACAAATGGCAAGGAGCTTATTACAATAAGGAATATGAAAATGTTCCTAAAAGAAATTCCTCCGAACTATGGCCGACTCCGGTACATACGATCGCTCGCCAGGCGAGGAGGAGTCGCCCCAAAGAACCCCCCCGATGGTCCAGGCGGGGATGGACAGAACGAGTCCCAGAAAGCTGGCATGAGTGGTGGCGCAATTGGCTCCTCGTCATTCGGATACACCTCCAGGCAGCGGGCGTAATCCTCATCATTCATCAGGCCCGTAACCGGCCCGTCCAGGTCGTCCAGCGGAATCGAGAAGGTCATTCTGAAAGTAAGTTGCTCTGGAACCGCCACCTCAACAAAGGACCCATCTTGAGAAGTCACTCGGGCAGTCGTGGGAGTAGGCGGATGGCGTGAAGGCGGAGCGACCTCGCGTCGAGTAGGAGTCGGCGGCTGAGAAGCTGAAGACATAGCGCCGGTAGGAGACCTCTGAGGGGCTGGGCGAGGAGTCTTCTTCTTGTGTTCCCGTTCAGGCCGAGTCCGCTTGGAGGGCAGCGGACGCCAAGGAGACCCGAAGTCAATCCGTTTTCCTTTCAGAGGAGAACGACCCATGATGGACTTGTGAAGGTGAGAGAGAAGGGAGGACGCCATTTATAGGTGCCAAGTTTAGACGGAAGAATCCAAACGGCCCCGCGAGATCCGGAGGGAATGGCTGAGGATCCGGACGTTACCGAAAGCTATTCAAGGCGAAGATACGGTGATTGAAGGAGATGGACAGTTGCTACTTTTCAAAACCCAGGCTAGCGGACCGGGTATGGAAAAGTGAGGGACTAGTTGATGGGGTAAGGACCCCGGCCCAAGAGATAGGGGCCCAAAGAAAATAGATAGGAGAAGTGCGCCAGTGTAAAGAGGGGTCCGAAAAGCAATTGGGCCGAGTCCGGGAGCCGGCCCAGGCCCAAGCACGGGGCCCGGTTCAGAGCTACTAAAGAGGAGCCCAGTGGGAGCTTAGGCCGAGACGAGGAGTCGACCGAGGCCCAAGCCCAGGGGAAGACTCGGTTCAAGGAGCCGTTGAGAGCATTGAAGAGGCTCGTTTAAAAGGGAGCCGTTAGGGCATTGAAAGCGGGACTCGGTCAGGCTGTTACAAGCCTGGAAGAGCCGTTGGTCTACCAAGTAATGGCGTCCAATGGCTCCATATCTTGATTAGCCTTGAAGTCGGCCATTAAGGGCCTTCAAGTCGGTAGAGGATGAGCCGCTATATAAAGGCTCCTCCATTCTTGTAAAAGGGGAGACAATTGAACACCCAGAGGGGGAGAATACCAAAAAGGTTCTGAGCACTAGCATTATCTCCGAGATAGGCATACCTTTTATTGAAAGGTGCACCCTCCAGCCAAAGGTTGTGTTGGACCTCCTTGGGCCCGAAAACCCTAAAACCATCAAAGACAATGGACAATGTAGTGAATATAATAAATTAATAAATTTATTAAAAAGAAGACAATGAAAGTATTGAACAAAATATTAATATTTATTATATTTGTATAAAATACTTGGTAAATACATACATACATATATATATATATATATATATATATATATATATATATATATATATATATATATATATATATATATAAAACATATTTTGTATTAAAACTTTGATATTTAATTACAAGATAATGTAAAAAGAAGACAATGGACAATGTAGTGAATATAATAAATTAATAAATTTGAAGGTAATGAATATTTGAATTGTGGAAAATAAAGATAATATAATTAATGAAATTATATCTTTTTTAAAATTTTTTATAATGAATAATTTTTTTTAAATAAAGACATTATTGACATCTAATTCTAAATTAATTAAATGCATATGTATTATTTTTTGTTGAAGCTACTAATTTATTTAATTTAATAAGAGTAATAAAGTGGCATACATACTTTTCATCAACAATAATAAAATCATTGATTTTTTTAATTTACATTCGTTGTTGAGATAAATTGTTTTGAGAGTTTGTGAATGACAATTGTTACAATTAATCTAAATAGAGGATGATAATAAATAATTCAAAATATATAGTTACAATGGATATTGTTATAATGATATAGTAAAAATTAACTTACAAATTTCTTTAGAAGTTTTTATACATTGATAAAATTATGATGTGTAAACTTGTTCAATTGGAGCAAGTGAGATTTCAACATTGTCAATTATTTGAAAAATGATCCTACCGTTTTTGAGTCCAGGTGTAATTGTATTTATGATCAACAACTTTTTAGTTAGGTCACTCAGGTCTGACAATGATGTAAGAATAATTTTGTCCGATAAAAAAATAACAGTATAATAGTTGTAAAGTAATGTACAATTGTACCCTTATAAAAATATATACAAAAAATATTAATACCATAATTTTCTAAATCATACCAATAATGCAAAAGTATAATTGAAATATTAAGTTTTGTTCTGATCTAAATAATCAAAATAAGATTAATTAAACGAAAAAAAAAAAACTTAACCTAAATTTTTTTTTTTTTAATTTATAAAAATCAAATGATTTTTAAAGTTTTTGATTTATAATCTTTGATTCTTAACTTTGAATGTTATGTATTTAGTCGCACTAATTATTTGACAAAAGTTTATGTTAAATTTTATGTTATATATATATTTTTAATACATTTTAACATATTTGTAGTGTATGTTTAACAATTATGCCAACTCTAATTGTGATGAAGTTCGAACCTAAGACATTTCTTATAGAAATTAATGAGTAAGTTAAAAATAATAAATAGTTAACGGAATATTCCGTTACTAAAGCTTATACTAACGGAATTTAGGTTATCTAAGGGAAGAAAATAATAAAATAGAGGGTAACTAAGGAAAATCATAAAAAAAAAAATACTAAAATCAAAATAATATGAATTATTCATTTTAAGAAACAATACTACCGACATTTTTTTGTTCCAGTTAAGGGCCTGACATTATTGGCTCTTATTAGAATTGTAGATACATGTAGATGTAGATGTAGATAGTAGATGTATGTGTATATACATATATAGCATTACAGGGCGTTTGGTTGGAGGGATTTTAAATTCCCATCCGACTTAATTCCCACCTAATTCCAAAGGCCATTAAATTCCATAGTTTGGTTGGAGGGAATTGCAATTCCATGGAATTGCAATTCCCCCATTTTCATGGAATTAAAATCCCATGTCCCCCCCCCCCCCCCCCCCCCCCCCGGGGATTTTAATTCCTGGGAAAAAAAGATAGTGATGAGTCAAAATGACCCCTTCCTTTTTTAACCTAAAATTAATGTTTAACAACAATAATGGATATTTTTTTACTTTATACTACTTATTCTCTTTCAATTCCCATGTATACCAAACATTGGAATTGAAATTCCTAGTAATTCTATTCCTGTCAACCAAACACTGGAATTTAAATTCCCACTTTATTCCCAGTAATTCAACTCTCATAGAATTACAATTCTTTTCCCACATAATACCCCCTCCAACCAAATGCCCTGTAAATGTTATATAAAATTTATATTTATGTTTAAAGAGTTAATAGTTTGAGTAGTTTAGTTGGTTGAACTTTAAATTTATATTAAAATTAGTATTTCTTATGCGCGATGTGCAAAAAATAGGTGCCCAATATTAATATTTTATATTCAAATTTTAAATTTATTTAGATTTTATTGAGGTTATATGTTAGTTATTTCTTAAAATATAAATATAAATGTTAGTTATTTCTTAAAATATAAATATTAAATTTATAGAAATGTTTTACATTATTATTATTATTATTATTATTATTATTATTGAAAATAAGAAAATATATGGTGGATGCATGTGTATGATATCAATAGTAGAAAAAATAACGGAAGTTATAACGGTAGGTGTATGTTTGTCCAAAATATTGTATAGTACAACATTTATAGAATAATGTATCATAAAACTTAACGGAAAAAAAGGGATATAAATGAAGGGTATAACTTTCATCTACACTTATTATGTTTTTATTTTAGATATATAAACAAATTATATGATTATAGGTTCAAATCTCATTAACAACAATTTTTCTTTATTTACTTTTATGAATTAATTTAATTAACAAATTCAATGCTCTTTTATTCTACTTTTTATGAATCACTTTACCTTTATCTACTTTTATGATTTTTTTTTTTGAAAGGATCTACTTTTATGAATTAATTTAATTAACAAATTAAATACCCTTTTAGTATCCTTTTTATGTATCACTTAATTAATGTAGTATACAAGTTTATATTATATTTTACTGTATTCGAATTACTTTAGAAAAACTTAAAGTTGATCTAACTAAAAAAATTAAAATTAAAAAGTATCTATGAATATAGTGTTATTCAAATTATTTTATCTAATTGATTATATTTCATATTTTGTCACCCTACTTAAGTATATTTTTAGCTCCGACTCTAACTATCGCGTAACCTATCAAAAACATTCCCCATTATAATTTATGTATCTTGTATTTTAACTTTATTGTGCCTGTTTGATATTTTGTAATGAATATTTTTATCATTATTTAAATTTCACCCTCAATCTAATAATTTTCTGACTCTGTCCTGTATTAGGCGGCATTTTAATGGTGGGCAAAATTGACGCCCCCTGGTCTCAGCATCGCATTGATTCATAAGCGTGGATTTAATTATGTGGATGGAATTGGTTGTATGAAATGTAATTAGTCCAACTGCCTGCAGTAAGTCTGAATTCAACGCACCCAACCTCTGTAGCGAGCAGCGAGCTGCGAGCTGAGGCAAAAATAAAGGTGGGAACAAAAATTCCAGGGTTCACGCGTTCACGCGCACACAGCACACTTTTCTCTTTTTCTTTTTTTGCCTGCCTCAAACAATTTAACGTAGAAGCAAAAAAAACAAAGAATTCTGGCCTTTATTATTATTATATTATTATTATTATTATTATTATTATTATTATTATTATTATTATCATCGTACCACCCGAATTCTCAGAATATTACGATTGCGCCACCAACTGAAAACGTCATAGTAATTTCTTTCCTCTCTCCGACAAGTGTGAACGCCATAAGAGCTGGACAGTGAGAGGAGGTGATGACTGATGAGGATCAGTGATACTGAGATGGTGATTGCTAGGGTTTCTAGGGTTTTTTGATTTCGGATTTCAGTGGTTTACTTTTTTTTTTTTTCGATGGAAATGCCGGGTAGGCGATCGAATTATACTTTGTTGAATCAGATTCCGGACGATAACTTCCACCAGCCGCCGCCTCATCTTTTGCCCAAGATTGCGGGGGCTGCAGCTGGGGCGCCGTATCACGAGTCTCTGTCTGGGGAGAAGAGTAAGGGGAAAGGATCCGATTCTGACTTGATTGATAATCGGATGAATCAAGCTCAGAGTCGGATCGGGGCTTCCGGGTACCCGGTTTCCATCGCTCTGCAGAGGCAGTCTAGCGGGAGTAGTTTCGGGGAGAGCTCCATCTCCGGGGAATACTGCATACCGTCGCTATCGAATCCCGATGCATCTTATGGGCAATTGAATGACGGTATTGGTGGGCTAAAAGCGGCGGAAGTCTCCTCCGTAGGCGGTGGTGGCTCATCTTCGTCCAAGAGTTGGGCGCAGCAAACTGAAGAGAGTTATCAGATGCAGCTCGCGCTGGCGTTACGGCTTTCCTCAGAAGCTACCTGTGCAGAGGATCCCAACTTTTTGGATCCCGTGCCAGATGAGCCGGCATCAAGGTCTTCAGCTTTAACTGTCTCAGCAGAGGCCATGTCGCATAGATTCTGGGTAAGTCTGTATATTCATTCATAGACGGAGTATACTTATATACTCCTTGTATCAATTATGTCAATCAAATTATCAACTTACATTATACCTCTTCCTTTTTTGGCTCACTTTTTGTCCTTTACCAAAATTTTGGGGATTCTGAAATGTAGAGGATTCATATTGGTAACACATAGAGAGATGAATAGGATTCAACAATATGTATTCTGCAGCCTGGGTGGTTGAAGCATTACTTCTGATCCTAATAATATCCACTGTAGATTAAAAAATTGAGTTCTATAAAATGGAACACAGTATTGAAGATAACTAAGCAGAAGTCTGCAAGAACTGCTAATTGGAATCTTTGAAGGTTAGGTGGAAAATCCCTACTCCAACTAGTTTGTAACTGCTTACTAATAAAAAAAACATACTAACTTGAAGGCTGTGGAAAGAAGTGTTTGAATAGTAATCTTCATTGTAATGAATTGTGTTCCATAAAAAAAGCCAACTTGAAGGCTGTGGAAAGAAGTGGTGGAATAGTGATCTTTATTGTAATGAATTCATGCGTTCCATTTTTGTTGTTTTGCTACTTATTTAGATTGGCTTAGTGCTTCAAAGTTTGGGTTTGACCTTTTTTGAAAATGATGGCAAGTGGCAACCCCTCAAAACTGGGGTGCAATTTATCTGTTCTATTACTAAGTCCCTACAAAGCTTAGTTTTTTTTTGCTTGTGCTTGGCAAAACTGATATTATCTTGATTCTCAAAAGGCTCAAGAATCACAATAACTTCAGTGTAGGATAAGCTCTATGTTTTGTCACAGTAGAAATTCAAAAATAAAAGGAAATTATCAGTCACCCCACGTCCCAACCCCATACTCCCTCTCCTCCTCCTTCCTGTTTCCAAAAGAATATTAGGGATTGTTCTGACTTTAGACCATGTAGATGGTACCTAGTAGTATCCACAAAACTTTTCTGAAGCTCTACCCAAGGTGTGACTAGTGTCTTTACTCTTGACAGTTGACAATACAATGAACTTACAGCTGACAGAAACTTCTCTTTATTTATCTAACCCTTTATGTGTTACTCCATTTCTTGATGTATCTTGAACAAATGTCTACCCCAATTAGCAAGGGACTAACACTTGAGTTGGACTATCATGAATACATTAAGTTCTTGGAGTTAGTATCCAACATCTTTCCCTATGTGATTTCCATGTCGCTATTCTTAATTTTGGCGTTCATAGATCAAGTCGAAGTTCCATTTGGTTATTTTATATACAAAGAAAACAGGTTCTATATGTGTTTGTTTTTGGGGTCCAAATAAAGAGAGTTTAATTTATGATAATCTCAGCCTTCCCCCTGTTCTTTCTCCTTAAACTTTTGTGGCTATTAAAATTTATTGATCATCAGGTAAATGGATGCTTATCATACTTTGACAAAATTCCTGATGGCTTTTACTTGATTCATGGGATGGATCCATATGTGTGGATTGTTTGCTCTGATCTGCAAGAAAGTGGGCGTATTCCATCACTTGAATCATTAAAGGCTGCTGATCCATCCATACTACCTTCAGTTGAAGTGACTTTGATTGATCGACGTACTGATCCCAGCTTAAAGGAATTACAAAATCGCATTCATAATCTGTCCCCTAGTTGCATCACAACAAAAGAGGTTGTTGACCAGCTTGCAAAGCTTGTTTGCAATCACATGGGGTGAGAAACTGAGAAACAGGTCTTACAAATAAATTCTCAAGCAATATGATTTTGGTTTCTATCCTTTTTCTAAATAATTTTTATTGCATTCATAAGGGGCGCAGCTTCTGCTGGAGAAACTGACTTGGTTCCTATCTGGAAGGAGTGCAGAGATGACCTAAAGGATTGTTTAGGATCCATAGTGATTCCCATTGGTAACTTGTCTGTTGGCCTTTGCAGGCACCGCTCTTTGCTGTTCAAAGTATGTTTTTGGTAAATCATTCTGCAATAATGTTGTTTAGGTGTGTAGTTTTGGGTTCTGTATATTAGGCATTATATAGTGAACAAATTCCTATTGGTCCATGGCCCACTTGATTTTTTTTTTTTTTTTTCCTTTGGGCATGTCAGTCTAAATACTTAAACAGTAAACTCTTAAATATCCATATCCATATCCACATGAGTCATGACAACTCTTTTGAGGCTCAATTAGTTTGTGAAATGATGGTAAGATTTCTCTTGAAAGATTCTTCTTTTGATGTGCTCTTGAACTATGGTTACTGCAGGTACTTGCTGACACTATTGATTTGCCTTGTCGAATTGCCAAGGGTTGTAGGTATTGTAATCGGGATGATGCTTCCTCCTGTCTTGTTCGATTTGGCCTTGACAGGTAAAGTGTGGGACCTGCGCTGATATCCTTTACCATTTTCAGTTTTTTCATTTGAGAGATTTTCTTTATGGAGGTGTTGGCCTGTTGGGTGCCGACTTCAGGGGATTTGCGATCTTAATTCATCATAGGCTTTGAGTTGTCACATTCTTCACTAGTTAGTGGTAAAACAAATGTTGTGGCTGTATACTGATGTGAGTAATTCTGTTTTACCAAACCTAATGGTGGCAAAGAAGGGGAAACTAAGAATGCTGAAAAGCAAATGACATCAGAAGGAAACTGATGATAAGTTGACTGTCAGGACATGATTTCACATGTTGATATTAGGTTTACGCATTTAACTAATAAAAAAAATGTGTACAGTTAATGAAGACTTCGATGGTGTTCTTATCAAGTATTTTACCTGCTAATTAGATGTTAAATCTAATAAATTGTGCTGAGATGAAAATTTATGTTACCACAGGGAATACCTTGTTGATTTGGTTGGAATGCCAGGATGTTTATGCGAACCCGATTCAATGCTAAATGGTCCATCTTCCATTTCGATTTCTTCTCCATTACGCTTCCCCAGATTCAAACAAGTTGAACCTTGGATTGATTTCAAGTTATTGGCCAAGCAGTATTTCTCAGATTGCCAATCACTTAATCTTGTGTTCAATGATTCTTCTACAGGTGGGTACATACTGAAATTCTCCTTTTGTTCTTAGTATCTTATTTATTTATTATGCTGTGTCAGTGCAAGCAGTTTTGAGTTTCACATAATAGATCTAGAATTTGCTGTAGAATGTAGATAGATAAACACAGTTTGGAACCCCCTTTCACAATAAAAAGAAAGGCAGGTTTGGACTGTTAAAATTTAAGAGAATGTGTTTTTTGGATTCAATATGCTTAAAAGAAATGTTAAGCTACCTTAAATGGTTTTTTTTTTTTTTTTTTTTTGGTGGTTGGGGGGTGGGGTGGGGTATAATTTTTCATTATAAATGTAATTTCCTTATCCTCTCCATCTCCCCATACCCCAGGGTGGTATTGTTAAAATTTCTGAGTGGTACATGTGTTTTTCCCTTTGAACATGGGTCACAGTTTTGGCTGGAGTATTTTTCTTGTTTCCAATCTTGTGTTTTGGAAGTTCTAATGAATCTTTTACTTTTATTTATTTAATTAAAATTTTGTTTCTTTTAAACTTTTAATTGCTTCTATAAATGTATTTTTTTTTGTCACCTGAGTTATAAGTATAGTTGATTTCTTCCCTAAGAATTTAGGAGGCAAAAACGAATAATATTTATCTCCCATTCAAGATGGTTTAGATGAATTGAGAAACTGCTCTTAGTAAATTTAGTTGCATGTATATGATTGTGAATGTTTTTGGCATGAGCTTCAGATTATTATCTGGTATTGATTGCATTATTTAACGGGATTCTTTGATCGATTCATATATTCAATAATATCTGAATTTCATAATGTATGCTAGGGACTACTGTTAGTGGAGATGCTGGTGTTCCAGTTTTTCCTAAACAGGCAGATAGTGGTGGCATGGATAGGAACTGCTTTATTCCTAGTTCGAGCAATCAAGAGGAAATTTCTAGGTTTCCTCTACCACCAACTAATGCCCAGAGAATGGGGGGTGGTGTAGAATCACAACGAGCCGGAATGTATGGTCCTAATATCATAAACTCAATGAACGTGGGCAGAGATGTTCAACTGCCTATAATTCGACCTGACCCAAGGTTAGATTCAACTAAAGACACAAGGTTTACAGATGGAGGTCAACTAGCTCTGCGTAAACCAAAGGAGCTTGTAATTGATGTAGAAGACCTGGATATTCCTTGGACTGACCTTGTTCTGAAAGAGAGAATTGGTGCAGGTAATTCTGGATGCTTCTATACAGTGGTGTATAATGAATCTCATGGCCTTATATTTTGTATGGTGATTACAGTTTAGTGCATTCTGCAGCTGACATGGCTTTCTTATTTTCAGGTTCTTTTGGTACAGTTCATCGTGCTGATTGGCATGGATCTGTAAGACCTATATTCTTTAAATTCACCTCATTTGGAGCCCACCCATTGAGTATCTTATCTTGGCTTTTAAAAGTGCATTTAAATGTGTAGGATTTTTCATTGTGTACGCACTTTGCTTTTCTTCTGAAATGCTTTCTTCAAGCTTGCCTCAATTGCTGAGTTCAAATATGTCCTGCTATTAAATTGTGGCATTTCAGTTGTTTTTTTTTCAGATTTCAGAGTACTTTATGGTACTTCCTTCTACTTATTTTGGCATCATGCAATTCACTGTGACCTTTATCATTCAGGATGTTGCTGTGAAGATTCTCATGGAACAAGATTTTCATCCTGAGCGATACCATGAATTTTTGCGGGAGGTAAGAGTCTGCACTGGGTCTCATGTTCTCTTCCCCCATCTGAGGGATATTAGCTATACTTTATTGTCTGAATTTTAATTTTGTTTTATCTTTTAATTTGTTGGATTAGGTTGCAATCATGAAACGCTTGCGCCATCCAAATATTGTTCTTTTCATGGGTGCTGTTACACAGCCTCCAAATTTGTCAATAGTTACAGAATATTTATCAAGGTCTCATCTTGTAGCTTCTTCAGAAGAAACTTCCTCCTATTTGTAGTACTATTAGCTTAGCAGACTGATTTAAATGTTCTGTTTGGTTGTATTTCATATTTCAGAGGTAGTTTATATAGACTTCTACACAAACATGGTGCAAGGGAGGCATTGGATGAGAAGCGGCGGCTTTGTATGGCTTATGATGTGGTATATATGAATGCATGTTTCTTTCTGTCTGTGTCTGTATCTGTATCGCTGCGCCTGCTCCATAAACTTCTGTTTCTGGCCTAATATTTTGGTATCAACTTGCACAGGCGAAGGGGATGAATTATCTTCATAAACGAAATCCACCGATTGTTCATCGAGATTTAAAATCTCCAAATCTTTTAGTTGACAAGAAGTATACAGTGAAGGTGAGATAATTTCCTTTTCAAAAACCATGAACATGCAATATGTGTTGGGATTATTGATGAGGTTAGCAGCATGATTTAGTGACTTTTTTCAGATTTCCCGTGTAGATATTGTGGCCAACTATTTTATCTATTGCAGTGTAATTGCTTCTGCATCAAGTGCTGGGCATTCTAAATTTATCTGTTTTACATATATTCAGTCTGTCTTTTTTATTATTTATTTATTTATACTGTGTATCACGTGGAGTTGTAGAGTCTATTTTGAAGTTGAAACTGAAGTCTCTCGTTCTCAGTTTATGGGTGTGCAAGTTACCTGACGTATGTTTTGATCAGGTGTGTGATTTTGGCCTTTCCCGCTTAAAAGCAAACACATTTCTTTCATCAAAGTCGGCTGCTGGAACTGTAAGTTTCAATACCTCTCTGCTTCATGTTTGAGTGTATGACTACTGCTTTTGATAATTAAATAATTATATATGTTGAAACCTCCCTCAACTGTAATTTCTTTCACAGCCAGAGTGGATGGCACCTGAAGTTCTCCGCGATGAACCATCTAATGAAAAATCAGATGTGTATAGTTTTGGAGTAATTTTATGGGAGCTGGCTACATTGCAACAGCCCTGGGGTAATTTGAATCCTGCACAGGTATGTATCTCGAAAGAAAGGGTGGAAAGTTGTTGTTGGAGGGGCTAATAAAATATAGCTCAACATCTACAATCATGCAGGTTGTGGCAGCTGTTGGCTTTAAGGGCAAAAGGCTTGAAATTCCACATGATTTGAATCCCCAAGTTGCGGCAATTATTGAGGCTTGCTGGGCGAAGTGAGTTGATTTGGAGTTTCTCTTACACCTAGTATCAGCAGTCAGTTTGTTTGTTTGTTTGTTTGTTTGTTTGTGTGTATTCTAAGCGAGCACTTGAATCATGATGCAGTGAGCCATGGAAACGCCCTTCCTTTTCAACTATTATGGATTTGTTGAGACCGTTGATTAAACTTCCTGTAACACCCCAGCCAGGTCGTACTGACATGCAATTGCTCACATGAATGCATGAAAGTACATACGAAGTTGGATATCTGCACATAGTGTTTGGCATTCTTTGTTTTTCAGCTTCTTTTGGAGGGATGCTGCTTCAATTATGTGAGGTAGGTATTATATATTGAAACCTGTAAAACTATTTCCCTTTTTCCAAATCAATATGATACCTATATTAGTTTGTGGTGCGAAAAGAGTAGAGAGCGGAATGGAATGGAGTAACGATTGCATTCCATATCCTACGATTATGGGCTTGTCGTTGTTTCTTTACTGTACCTTCAAAGAACTTGATGTCTTTTCTTATCTAGCGTGCTCAAAGAGTTTTATTGGGGAATCTTAGAAGCATAATATATTCAATTGACTTGACTTGCTATAAGTTGAGGGATATGTTTACCAAGGTTAGAGATGCGGGTGTGATAGATATATAGGCTTCTAGACATGAGGATTGAGGAGGCATGAGATATAGTTATGCTGCTAGTTTTTGTACCTCGGGTTCCAGAATTTGACTTGTGTTTCAATGCGTGTTTTGCAGGCTGAATTTTGTAAATACTAGTTCAGGTAGCCCGTTGAGAAACAATCAGCAGCAGCGTGCATGTATAATTTCTTCCATTAAGACACCGATTTGCCGAATGTTGTACTACTCCAGCAATCATTTATAATTATTTTTTTCTCTCTTTCAAAATTTAACTACTGATTTTGTATCAATAAACACTGCAATTTTAAATTGGGTTGGGAAATTCACACCATTCAAGCGCCGGAATGGTGAAAGATTTCATGCAACTTCTTTCTGAGAGATCGTTAATGTTAACTATTTTTTTGGTCCTCTGATCCTTTACAATTGTTACGCATTGAAAGTTAAATAAATTTGACTAATGCGCTCCCATATCAAAACCAATCTATTGCTGCACTAAATTAGAAGGCAATACTAGTTTTTTTTTTTTTTTTTTTTTTTTTTTTTTTTTTTTTTTTTTTTTTTCTTCTTTTAAAGATATCAAATTATCAACTGAACGACCTGAGATCATAATAAAAAGTTATATAATCAAGCTTAAGTATGGAAGCTGAAGGCCGGCCTTAAGGATCGGATTTCTTAGAATTATCATCTCTGGGCTGAGGCTGAGGCTGGGCAAGAGGAGAATCATCACCCAGCCACTGTTCTATTATACCTGAACTTGTGGTAGTGTGCAATGGATCAATATCCCACATATCTGAAATTGCAATATCAGTGTAGCTGCTCCCAAGATTGCCCCACAACTCATGGCTAGAACTTGGCATACCAGCTGAAGCTTGAAATCCCATATTCCAAATTTCCTCTTCTTTAACCATAATACTCTCTAGCTCTGCTGGAACCAATTCTGGGATGTTGTTCTCCTTCCCTGATTCGCATTGGTCGCCGGGGAAAGAAACTAAGTACTCGGGTGGTGGAGAACTTGCAACATTCTTCCCTTTGAATATAGGATCCAGTCCGAAAACCCCCTCCTCTTCTTCAGCTAGGTATTCATGTTCATCTGAAAATGGCATTGGCATGCTTGTACTCATATTTGTTTCTTCCACCACTTGAGGCTTGTACTTGACAATCTGCCCTTCTTCCATGGAAGGCTCGGGATTATTGTGTGGCTGATGCTTCACAAACTTCTTCTTCATTGTTCTCGCAGAGGCTGCAATGGTCCTTTGCTCCTGAAGCCGGGCCAACACTTTGGGATTCTGAAACACCTTAGCCAGGAAAGAAACCATTTGCTTCTGCCTCTGCTCTGCAGCCTGCAACTTCTCATTTACTGCTTCCATGTGCTGAACCGTGCCACGCTGCTGCTGCTGCAACTCAATCACCTCCTGCATCATCACTCTCTTCTCCTTCCTCAATTTCTCCACCTCCCCTTCCACTCCACCCGTGTGCTGTTGAGAACAACCCCCGCCCCCGGGAGACTTTCGCCTCTGGATGTGCTTCAACAGCTGCCTCTTCCCTCTCAAGAACCCCTCATTAGCGAATTCCCACCTGTCAGCGTCAATTTTTCGAAACCCCTGCAGCACCATCCAATCCAATTTATCATAAAAACATGAGATTCAAAATCTTAACTTTCCAGTCCAAATAAAACTGTGTCAATTGTTACACAAAAAAAAAAACAAAACAAAACAAAAGCAAAACCAGGCCCTCAGTTTCATGAATACCAGAAGCTGCATTTCTCTGGACACAAAACAACAACACAGACACAATCTTCTCAACAAGTCATATTTTTCACTGGTAATAAGCATAAGAAGAAATTAAAGAACAGTAACATGTAGTATGTAGTATGTTTTTATCAGAACCATAGAATCTACCTGCATAAGATAGATGAAGCTTCCAAGCTATACTGCAGCTCATCATCCCCCAAAGCTCCCAAGTTTAATTACAGTACAAGATTTCTTTATTTTTACTAAAACTATTACACAGAGCCAAACCTCCCCTAAAACATCTACTGCACCTCATCATCTTGATTCCATTTACAAAATTCAAAAACCAAAATGAATTACAAGAAAAATTCAAAAAAAAAAAAAAAAAAATACATGGAAATTTCCCGAAGACAGAATTACATAGAAAAAAAGAGAAGAGGGGAAGAAACAGCACAGCAGCCACATGTGTTAGCTGCTGCTGCTGCATGTTAAGGCAATACCCACATATGTATTGAGCTGACGAACAAAGCTGGAGAAATTGTTGTGCTTGAAGTTCCGAGGCAGAATCACCCTGGCGAAGTCCACCGGGTCCCACACCACGAAGCTCTCCCCTTTGGGGCCCCACGATATGATCGGGTCCAGCGACGGCTCCTCCACCAGATCGAACGTCTTCGACAGAAACGGCGGTATAGGCGTCTCCTGCAAACACTCCAGCGGCTGCGGCATACTGAATCCCTCCGCCGACGACACGGCACCGTATTGGTGCTGGCTTATCGGGTCGGGAAACGACCCGGAGCCCAAAAAATGCGGGTCCGGAAACGCCATAGACAGAGGAGACAAAACAGGGAACCCGGGATCCATCTCAGATGAAAACGGTGTCGTATTGGACGGTAGCGGAGGAGTTTCAGGTCTCCGGAAAGTCGAAAAAGAAGAAGAAGAAGAAGAAGAAGAAGAAGAAGAAAATGGGTTTTTCTCTTCTGGGTTCATTTCCCTTTTCTTTTTCTCTTTTACGGAAAAAAAAAACAGAGTAAATTGAGAAGAAGACGACGATAAGAGGGGAGATGGAAGAAATGAAATCTTGGGGAAGAAGAATGTATGTATGTGTATACATATATACAGACAGATGTTGGTACGGACAAGGTAAAAGCCGACATTGGAGAAACTGAAAATATCAGTAGAAAGTAAGGCGGTGGAGGATTCTAATAAGTAGTCCTCCCTCAACCCGCCATTTCCTGTTCAAAACACGGGATCGGCAAACAGTAAAATGACGTATAAGTTTTAATAACAACAACACACGATTCATTTAAAAAAAGAAATAAAATCTGGGGAGGAGCCGACCTGGGAGATTCTCTGCTACTCATCAGGGTTTGACATGGGGTTTTGTGGAGGGGAAGAAGACAGGTGGGGCCAGTTCACCAGATATTTTCAGACGGGAACTTTCCGTCTTTCCTTCCTTGTTACAGTTGACATTTTAGGAAAATGATAACTCTAGAAAAAGAAATTTTTATTTGACCAAAATTCATTTTTAAATTTCAACCATCCCAAGCACAAAGAGACTTTCTCAACCTATTAATTACAAAAATTGGTTTTGATATGGGAATTATTATTCCTAAATAATACTCCGTAAATAGTTAATTCAAAGTTAATGTTAGTTTGTACAACTATATATAAGTACTAGGTTAATAATTAAAATTATTATTCAAAATTATTTTTTTAAAAATAATTTTCTAGCTAACAATTAAAGAAAAAAGATTGTTTATTTAGAAAATAAAAATAAGTACAAGATCAATCCCTTTTAATCAAAATGAGTACAAATCATGTTTGAACTATAAAGAGAAAATTTTTAAAATGATCACCTGACTATGATCTTTTTTCAAATTAGTCATTTGACTTTTAATTGCACCCAAAATAGTCTTTTGACTATAGTGAAACCCTAAATTATCAGTTTTATCCCTCATTTTAACATCCACGTTACACCAAAATTAATGGAGGACAATTTTAACTTAAAATTCAATAGTCAGAAGACCACTTTGAGTGTAATTAAAAGTTAAAGAACCAATTTAAGAGAAAAGACATAGTCGGAGTACCATTTTGGGTATTAACTCGGCTCTAAATTAAATGCAAAATATTTTACTATTGTGGTCAATGGCGTTGGCCAATGGGAAGTGGGCAATTTGGCGAATTTCACTATTGTTGGGTGGGACCCATTGCCACTTGAGAGTTGAGAGTGATAGACTTCTGGGTTAAGCAAAACTACAGTAAAATTGCATATTTTAAAATGTAGTGTGACGAATTAATATTTCCCCTGCATAGTTGTTTGAGTTGGGTCGGTTGCAACTTGCAAGTCCAAACTGTCTGTTCTAATCATTGTTGGGTGGATCAGAGTCCACACAAGTTGTGTGCACCATATTTTGTTTATTGTAAAATAATGTATATTCAATACAAAAATAATATACATTCAATATAAAATAATATATATTATATTCAAGGGATGTATATTATTTTTGTTCTGAGTGTATATTATATTATATAATATACATTTAATACAAAAATAATATACATTTAGTATATTAAAAATGTACTTTTTATTATGCTGGACCATAATTTGCCATCTGTTCAAGTTTTCAAAATTGTGAATTTGATTGGAGCTTCAATTCTCTGGGATTCGTTACTGTTCCCATTCCTCACGTTCCGGTAATTCGTTTGATTAGTTGATTAATTAGGTAATTTAAACATGATTTTGTTTTAATTTTCTTCTCCCAAATTTTTGTTTTAATGTTAACTAATATTTTCATCCGTGCGTAGCACGGAATGAATTATATTATAATATTTTAAGAATATTTAGATTGATATACAATTACATATATTATATCATCAAATATTATATAGTGCAATTGATGATATTGGTTGGATCGATTATGTTTTCTGATGTTATCCTTGTTTGAATTCGAACAAATAATTGCTAAATTACTCGTGCGATGTACGGATAAACTTTTTTATTATATATTTAGATAATAAAATTAAAGATAAAATTACTAAAAAATTTAATATTGAACGTGTACATTTATTTGATTATAAGATTAGTGCAAAAGTATCACTCAATTAATTAAATAATATATGACTCGTTTATCTGCAATTATCTTAAAAAGATCGATATGTAATATAATTTATGTAATTATATTTTTACTAAAATAAATGTGGAAAAAAATGAGAAATAATTTAATTATAATTATTATAAAAATAAATCAAACCACTAATGTTTAGCTTAATAATTAATATACGGAGTAATAATTATTAGGCAATTACTATTAATCAATCATACTAATATAGGTGTGATTATACTTTTATACCTTAAGTATATTCATTTTCACCTTATCACAATTAATTTTTTCCTCATCCTTCATATCAGAATGAATTAATTGTAATTATTATAAAAATTCAAAACCCATGTTTAATTGTAACTATACAAATATTTGTGTAATTATCAGCTTAATTAGCATAATAATTATTAATCAATTATACTAATATCTGTGTAATTAATTTCATAATTATCACAATAATTATTAAGTAATTGTAAGTGTAGATACACGTTTAACCTTATTGTAATTGGCTAATTTATTTGACATAGGTTAGAATATAATTAGCTAAAATTGTTGGACCGCACTCCTATCAACTTCTGTCTCAGTATTATATTCTGCCTCAATCTCTATTTACGCTGGATCAGAGTCAGCATATATCTTTTGGCGGTTTTCTCTAACCAACTTCAGTTGGACTGAACTGGTATTCAGCCTGGATTAAAGTGTGTGGATCTCTTTTATCAAAGGAATTGTGGGCAGCATTCACTTGGAAAGTTGGTTACATCTCAACTAGTATAAATGCATTGGTTTTCTATCATTATTCCCCACGATTTTATATGGTAACATTGTAAGGGTTATTCTCTTTATATTAAATCAGTTTAACAATCTATAATCTCGCTGGATCAGTCACCCTAAAGCTGACGCAGCAATGTTGAAGCTTGAAGAAGAAAAACGACATGCACGCACCTCTCCTAAATCAGATGTTGTGAAGATTAAAGTCGGTTTATGTGGCTGAGGCCTTTTTGTATTCAAACCCCTTGTAATCTTGGTGAACATCTAGTGGATTGGGCTGACGTAAGTTGCCCCGCAGACATAGGAGTTTAGCTCTGAACTGTGTAAACAATTGCTATGTTCTTGGTTCTACTTTCTTACTTTTAATATGTTTTTGTTTATTCGAAAAACACCTTAATGAATGGTATGTTAATGTGTTAACTAAAATTAAGTAGAACTATATGTTTTAACTTACATTCAAGACCCACCGTATAACTTCAATTGGTATCAGAGCCCGGAGATTTAAGTTATTAGTCTATCGATTTGGCTATTCCGTGCTTCTTGAACTCAAGTTTTCAGCAGTTATTAATATTTGTGTTCTTTTTGCTTCTTTGTTCATTGTCACGGTGTGCTAAGTATTTCAGGATGAAGGTAACTGCTATTCAAGAAAATGCAGGTTGGGAAAACAATTTTGTTGCTCAATTAATCAGAAATTTGCAAACTTATGAAATGGAAATACTCGCTGATCACACCAAAAAGCAAAAAAATGTTGCCTTTACCATTGAAGAACAGGGTGTAACACCCCCAAATTCTAAACACAGAAAACCCAAAGAAATGCGGAAGCGAATTCAAAAACTTTAAACCAATGGGGTTTATGTCACACTTAGGTTATTTTAAACCTAAATGCACAGGCTACAACAGTTTTCTACTCAAATCCAAATACAAGGTTTGCCTAATACAAATGTCTTAATCCAAACAACTATACCATAATTGAGGTACAAACTCTACGCCGCGCTCTCAACTAGCCACAAGATCCAGATCCTGAAAACACATTTTTACAAAATTAGCGAATAATGCTAAGTAAACCCACTCCAACACGTAAAACTACGTAGATATACTTTTATATACAAAATAGGTTTTGCAACGGTATAACTGTGACAACCCAAAATTTCATTTTATAATCCAGTTTTAAGAAAATCCAAAATAGTCAATTTTCACTCCATAAAAATTTTTGCGATGAAATCGGTGTTGAATAAAATATTTTGAGCCACTTTAAATTAAATTCAACACCAAGACTTGATTTAAAACCAACATCCTAAATTTTCGGGTACATTGCGTGCCAAGTTTTGAATTGAGAAACCTATCTGAGTGAAATCGGGAGAAATCTGAGAAGCCTAAATCAAGTGTTTATCTAGAAATCGTTTTGGAAAAATTCCTTTTTCAACCCCAAACTATCTTAAAATAGCAATTCTAGCCATTGGTTCATGGAGCATGGTGGACCACAAGCAACCAAATTTGTCTGATAATATCTTTTAGCCAAGATTTTTACTCTTCTACCCTCCACCAATCATGAGGAATCATCCTAGGGTTTTGTGCTACTATATATTGAGCCATTATCAGACTTTGCCTCTTGATTCCCAACCTTGTCTTCCTCCCAAAAGCTTTACAAGACATCCAGAAGAAATCCCAGTAAGTTCACAGCTAAACTTGGCCATTCATTCTTTCTCTGTTTCCCTTCATCTTGTATCTCTGAGGTTCTAGTTTTAAGATGGTTGTGTGGGTTGTTTGAGATGTTTAGGAGGTGAAGGAGGTTGCAGCTAGCTAAGGAAGAAGGTGGAATCCAAGCAAGAAGAAGAAAGCTTCAAAGGTATAACCCATGGACTCCCAAGCTATTTTCTAGACTCTGTGAAGTCTACTGTTGAGTAGAAATGAGTAAAAATGTTAGATTATTGAAGTGTTTGAGCTATTAAGTGAACTATTGTTGATTTATGATGGTGTTGTTGATGGTTTGGATGTGTAGGAAATGCTTGAAATTTTATTTGCAGATGAGAAGAAGCCCACTGGTGCACAGACAGTGTGCACCAATAAGCCTCACGACCCTAGCCAACGGCTCACAAAGGAGATCGTTGGCTAGCACCGTAGTAGACCGGCTCTAGGGGACGGCCCTAGAGGAGGGTCGTTGCCCAGATCCGCGTCTTAGGCGGTCCAAGGGGCGGGCCAAGCTAAGCCCCGCCCCAAGCCCCGTTGAGAGTTCTCTGTGTAGTGGCCGGGCCTTTGTGGCTTAGCTACGTGTCATTTTGGACGAGGAGTCGTGGGCCCTTGTGGCTCGGTACCTCAGGGCCGTCTTGACGCACGTTTTGACTTTGATAGTGTTAAGTTTGTTTAAGAAATGAGCTCTTGGTGTTAGTTTTTGTAGAAGATTTTCCTACAGATGTTGTTCTAGTAAATGAAATTGAGAAGCATCAGACTTGAATATTTATTTGCTGAGTATGTTTTTATCTGATTGCTAAGTAGAGATGTATGAGCTTTAATTATTGAGTTTAGTTAGAAGAGCATGCCTCGAGTGTGTGTCATGATTTATTGAGTTTACTGTCAAGATTCCAATTGTTTAGAGCATGTTTATCTTGAAAGAATAAATTGCAGTAAATGAGTACGAGATGTGTATTTTGAGTTCTAAGTACATATTGAATTGCATGCTAAGTGTTTGATGAGAAGATTTGTCAAGTTATGGTTAACAAGCATGATTTAAGTATTTATTGAGTTTTCACAGTGATTAGAAAAGGAAGCATTGTTTTACAATAAATGGCATTGTTGAACATATCATGTTTTAAAAGTGCATAAGTGGCCAACGTGAGCCTAAGTATTATTTTCCAAAAACTCATATCCATGTAGGAAAGTCACTATCTTGCCATATTGAGAATGAGTTGAGAAGTTATGTGCATATTTGCATAAGAAAAGTTGTGCATGTTTGGATTGCATGAGTGATATCTATATATATCTATTGTGAGGAAAATCTTGTTTTAGAGGACCCGTTTGGACTATGTCTTTTTGGAGTAAAAGAAAAAGCAACGGATATTGCGATCCGATATCATGTAACGTGGCATATTCCACGTTACGAGGTTAGAAACTGCCCGCCAGGCTTGGAATCCTAGTTAGGGGGTGTGCACACTGATAGTTCGATACCTGAATCCACAGAGTTTGAGTTTAGAACCACAAGATTGGTTCTGTGGGCGGGATGAGAGATTGGCCGGCTAGACGCCGAGCCCAATAGGTACATTCACATTATGGTGAAGTCCTGCCTCGCCCACGAGTAAAGAGAAAGCGAGTCAAGAGACTCAAGAGAAAGAAAGCGAGTCATTGAGACTCTAAGAAAGCGAGTCATTGAGACTCTAAGAAAAGAAGAGCAAAGCGAGTCATTTTTTGCTCTAAGAAACCTCCACAAAAAAAGCACTTCTTTTACAAAAGAGTATATATGTATATCTATCTATACTTATATAAAAGCATGAGTTTTCTTATGAGATATGTCTTGCACGAGATTGCATGAGTAGTATATGATGGCATGAGTTTGCTTATGAGATATGTCTTGCACGAGATTGCATGAGTAGTATATGATGGCATGAGTTTGCTTATGAGATATGTCTTGCACGAGATTGCATGAGTAGTATATGATGGCATGAGTTTGCTTATGAGATATGTCTTGCACGAGATTGCATGAGTAGTATATGATGGCATGAGTTTGCTTATGAGATATGTCTTACACGAGATTACATGAGTAGTATATGATAGCACTAGTTTGCTTATGAGATATGTCTTGCACGAGATTGCATGAGTAATATATGATGACATGAGTTGCTTATGAGATATGTCTTGCACGAGATTGCATGAGTAGTATATGATAGCACTAGTTTTCCTATGAGATATGTCTTGCATGAGATTGCATGAGTAGCATTTGATAGTATGAGATTACTTATGAGTTATATGCCTTGCACGAGATTGCACGACGAGTATTTGATAGCATGAGATTGCTTATTTGATTATATGAGAAAGCATGAGATTGTTGAGTACTTGAGAAAGCTTTAGATTGTTCATAAGTTGAGAATGTGATGAGTTGTTTATGGTAAGAAC